GCGCTCGACACACAGTGTCATGAACAAAGAAGCGGGGCGTTGAGGGTGTGTTTGTTTTGTGTATGTGGGCAGCCCGTGTGTGTGACTTTGTGTACACCTATGTGCATCCAATTCCTTTTCGGGCACGCCATCCGTGGCTTTTTCGTGTTAACATCTGCTATTTTTGTTGTTGTTTGACTTTTCTGAATTCTGCATGTGACTATTTCAGAGTAGGATTTATTCTGAACAAAACCCTGAAGATTGCTACTGTCCAATTCCCCCCCCCCCCACCCTCCCCCACTCCCCCAGGAACAGGGAGAAGATGGATACTGGGGTTTAGTGAGCCGCAGCCTGCACCGTGCACAGATGGTGGCTTAACCAAAGAGCATGTGTTGGATGGGTTCGCACAGAGTTGTTTTTCCGTTGATACACAAAGACGCTTAATAGGATCACGAGAGAGACAGTTCTGCCAAAGTAAATATGAAAGTCAATGTAATTTGATTATAAAACTTCCTGGGCGTTGAAGAGTTCGACGTTTTGAGGGATTGATTAAGGAATGCGTTCATCAATTAACTGAATGTGTGTTTAGTCCTTTACAACCACTTTACACAGGTCACAAATACTTTATAGAAAAATAGCATCATGTTAGAAAAATAGGTCAATGTTTTGGTAAAACCATTTGATTCACACAATTATATTTTGTTACATTTTTTCATTATTATATATATATAATATCTTTTTTTTCCTTTTTTTTTTCTTTAGTACATATTGTTGATATTTACAATTAATGTTAATTCCTTTGACTTATAGTATTCTGTTTTGAATATAAAATGTCACCAAGCATCTGCCTAGAAAAATCCTATTTTCTATGAATGTGCCAAAAGAGAGGTGACACATGTGATCCATGTTGACAATGCTATTTCTGTCCCCCACAGAAGAAATACCTTCAGAATTACACATTACAGAGATTAGACACCACAGCAGAGTTTATGCCAAAGCAAAACATCTAGATATCCGTAGTTAGATCTATTTGAAGCAGGGTTGTAGGGGGGATGATCCACTAGACAGAAGTCGGCACACCCCCAGCTCGGTCACTTATTATTTGGGCCTTTATTATAGGTGGCTAAAATATTTTTTTGCTGTAACCGCGTTCACGTGTGGATACTCCTGTGTCTCCAAAGTGGGGGCATGCCGGACGTCTAACATACTATGGACACAAAATTGCATAACTAAATTCAACCCTGATGAGAAGAATGCATGAGCGAGTTCTGAGCGTGTAAACACCTCAGAGGCTTTGATTGACACCTGCAGTCGTCCCAGTTATGCATGGCTCACTCTCAAGATTAACCAAATCCCACCTTGCATGTGGCTACTTCTTTCTCTTTAAGCTTCATCAGTCCAGTTCAATGAGGTTTTGTTCAGAGTTTCTTAACCTCTTGACTCTACCACTTAGAACAGAAACACTAACTTGGTATCCATGTGTTGCCATGTTCAAGGGCTGGTGTAGATTGTCACAGTTTAACTAGTGAATATGTTCATTATGCCCTTGACAACTAAAGAGCTGTAAACTTTCTTTCATCTTTAAATTTTAGACGTAAATACGAGTCATCAAGACTCCAAAACATACTTCCATTCAATCAAATTTGGGTGAACAGGTAACCATCATAGCTATTGGGCAGATAGCTGTGTTTGAATGGTGACTACCAACAACTTCCCTAACATTTTAAAAAATGGCTTATTCATTTTACCCTCATTTGAACATATAAACTCTGTCCTTTCTTTTGAAGCTGACCGGCATGCCTAAAACAATGTTAATCTAATAAATGTACATTTCATGTTAACAAGTATGTCTGTTGAAAAATTAGTTCAGTGCAAGTGCAAAATTATGCATTTAATCTGTAAAAGACTGGATAAATATATATATATATATATATATATATATATATATATATATATATATATATATATATATAATTTAGACGCAGGAAGAAAAAAAGGGTCTGGCAGGAGAGAAATGGACAACATGATCGACAGTGCAGAGGAAATAGATAGGAAGTGAAATGTAAAAAAAAGCAGAGGGAAGGCGAACAAAGGAAAATATGGCTCTCAAAGATAGAAAATGGGAGCATTATTGGGGGAAAAAAGAATTCACAGTAGGGAAAATAATCACAGACAGAAATAAACCTATAACACAGAGAAGAGTTGAATTACAAAGGTTTTCAGCCAATCTCCTCGCTGTGAAAGTCACTTAGGACGCATGCAGCAGGGATATTTGTAGGGTCTGAAGATGAACAGAAAACCCATTTTCCCTCATGGCTACATCTGCCAGAGGGAATTTATACGGTTGTTGATGCTGAAGAGTGGAAGAAAGATGTGATCAAACATGAAGGGAAGTGGAGACAGATAGAAGGGCTGCAATCAAGAGGGAGAGAGAACGAAAAAGCGGGAACGGTGGAAAGTGCTGAGGAAGACATTGTGAGATGATACAGGAAAGGGACTTTGAGAGAATATTAAGGGCACTGATGTGGCAGAGTCAAATTTACAATTTTACAGAGGAATAAAACAAAAACTGACATGTACTATATGCAGTCCTTCAGTCGGCGTGCCTGAACTTTGTAAAGCCTTTAGATTTTTAAATATATGGTTTGTAGTTAAGGTTTGAATGCCACTATTTCCTCCAAGTGCATGGTGTTATTGTAAAAGGTGTCATCATTCAAAGTCCTTCTCTACATTCCATTGACAACCTAGTGACTTGTCACGCAAGTGTTGAGATGAATAAATGAATCACCGACATAAATAAGATATCTGTCTTGCGTTTTGAATGGATAAAAGCAGTATTTCAAACAGAGATTTTAACATTTTATTATCGTCATTGCAGTTTCCCTCACTGCTCCTGCACAGCCTAACAAGGTACCTCCATTATTACTCTGCTGCTGAAATGAAACATAAGCCTTCAAGATGTTTTTTTTGCCATTATTCAGGGTGAATTAATGTAGAAGTTCACACCAAGGGGAGTTTGCAGGACTGCATTTCTGCAAAGCTGCCACCCTACTGGAGATTAATGAACAGGTTTTGTCCGTGGTGCTAGTCTTCCCTGGGCTGCTCTCCCCTCTCAGCCTAGTTTGATTCATGGACACCCAGCAGTGCATGAGTTATGATTTCAAGGGGGTTTGTTTTTCCTCATGAAGATGGAATTCTAAATGCTGTGATGAATGATCTCTTGTGGATTTTATTTATTATTCTGTCTCGATTTTGTTTCCGTTCGAGGGTCTTCGTTTGGACACGTGTTCCCTGCTCTCTCTCTCTCTCTCTCTCTCTCTCTCTCTCTCTCTCTCTCTCTCTCACGTGGCTGAAGTCTCAGCACACGGGAATGCGTTTGTGCATGTGTGTCATTTTTCTGTATATCATCACATTTTTATCACGTTAATATATACTTGTAAAAGTGCTGAACCTGCGTTTTCTGTCAGTCGTTATTTATATATAGTGTATATTGCCTTCCTTTAGGTTGCAATAGCTTTCCGAGTGAAATACTACTCCTCACCTACGGGGTTTGTCATTGTGGGGAAATCCCTTCAAAGTTAATGTCACAGCTTCTCCCTCCATCCTGTTAGATTTACATTATCGTCCAGCCGCGGCCGTTGTCGGCTGGTGTGTGATTTTTCTGTGATTGTGAGGTATTGAACGATTAGTGAAGGAATGTTATGCTCCTTTTTCAGGGCCACTGAAAGAGAACAAAAAGAACATAGGAATACAGTGAGGGCAAATCAGGCTGACATCTGTGGTGCATTGGAGTCCAGATGCAGCACTGCTATAAAGAAAGTTCTGTCACACATCTGTGTGCTGTAGAAACTATGTAAGTAGGAAAAGGACACAATAGCATTAACCGTACGGGTAGCCATGGAGGTACATTCATCCTTTGTGAATGTTGTGTTGTCAAAAGTAACTCAATTCTGTGGTGATTTTTGAGCCTGTATTTTGTCATTGAAGCCGTGGTGTGTTTTATTATCAGGTAAAAGTCCTTTACATGGGCATTTGGTATGTGGATGTCGGCGGGTGCACGGTGCTAGCAGTTGGTGGTTTTGAGCAAATAAAAGAAGCTAATGCGCCCTACGGAAATTGCATTGTTTGTGTACGTGTTGATGTGAATGAGTGCATGCCCGTATCCTTCCTTCCTTTTAATTAGTTCCTAATGTCACAGCTGCTGCAGCGGGTGCCTGTTGTATCATTCTCTGTCCCTCTCATGATATGACCAGAATACCTTACGATCCTCACCAGGCTCCTTTGTCTTATGATCTACACAGAAATTACATTTGAAGAAACTAAATCGTCATGCATTACGTTGCTAAAAATGGGTTACGTCTTAACCAAGGGGGAGTGTGGAGGAGAGCGACAAGGTGCAAAGACACTGGACAAGTCCATCCAGCTGTAAATTATTATAATTCGCTCACAATCGCAGATAAAGTGTCAAAATTCACTTCTTCTGTGTTACTCACACCTCGCAACCTTATTTTTGATATCTTTTGAGAAGAAAATGTGCGATTTGGTTTGAATTTATTTTCCAAAAGTAGGTACATACGGATATTTATCCTCTCATGACAACCTGCATGTCGATGCATCTTGATTTAGTGTGATTTACACTGAGTCAGACTTTGAACACCTCTTCTCTAAAGACAAGGTTAAGGTTGGCATCGTTTGCAAGACTTATCCCTTTTTATTTATCCAACAACTGGCAGTTTATCGACCACCCGACTTGCCTTTAACTATGGCATCATCAGTCAGTCTGTTTTTAGCTACCTTTCATGTTGTCAGATTGCCAGACTTCTAAGTGGCAAATGGTGCTGATTGCCATTCAACCCATTGTACGTGTCAGTGGAGCAGCGATTTTCATTATGTGTATTAAACTTTTCATTTTTTCCATCCACGACACCGAACATCAGCACTACCGAGTAAGTGAGGACAAGTAGTCGTCCTACTGTGCTTCCCTCACATTCTCTATTTCTTTTCTCTTGCTTTCCATCCAGGGAGGCCTCATTGCCCTCCTGCTTCTGATTCTCCTCTTCACGCTCGTCCTGTACACCCGCCACCGGTGGTGCAAGCGCCGACGCATCCCCCAGAAGAGTGCCAGCACCGAGGCCACCCACGAAATCCACTACATTCCCTCCGTCCTGCTCGGGCCGCAGGGCCGCGACAGCTACCGGGGCTCCCGAAGCACGCACCAGCACGGGAACTCGGTCATCGGCATGCCCATCCGGGAAACCCCCATCCTCGACGATTACGACTGTGATGAGGACGAACCGTGCGGACACTCCATGAACTCCACACCCAACCAACTCCACGGCAAGCTGAGCGATGGGAAGGCCCAGGAGGACTACGGCGTCGGCACCGGCGGGCACGCGGACGTCATGTGCAAGGAAAACGAGATTAAGCATAACTTTGAAAAACGAGGTAGGTTGGAATACCTTGTCCCTCGGTACGAAACGCTAGCAGTGTGCATGATGGAGATTGAGTTTGCGATTTGCTTCGAGAGCGACGGCACAGTGAGGGTTTTGTCTCCGGTCCCTCAACTAAGAGCAGAATACACTGAAACAATTTGAGCTGTTGCAGACAGTCTGTTGTGCTCAGTGGTGGTTCTGCGCGCATTAATTTGTACATCCGCGCAGGCGCTCGGTGCCAGCTCCCCAGATGGCCCCAGCCTGGACGGTTCACTTTAGCCCTGGCCAGCGCGACCGTGTTCTCGAAAGGACAGCATGCCCTGCTAATACTTAGTCAAAATTTAGCAGGTTTGTATGACTCACGCCATTACATCATGCTGGTAATGATACAAATTCTGTCCTCCGTGAGTATGAGCTAAATTTCTTACTCAAACCACTTCAGCTGTGAACCAATGGTGGCTCAGGATAACGTAGCCGTCGGCTCTGTGTGCGTCACGCACTGCCGTGTAATTTAATGTCTAACGTCTAAAGGTCAAGTGATAGGGGCCATCGGCCTGGTCGATTAGATGCGGACGTGTGTCAGAGGGATGGGGGGGGGGCGGTTGACCCTTGCTAAACATGGTCAGCGCTCGATCTGCACTTCAAGCCAAGGTAAAAATGCTTTTCAGCCTTTAGTAGCAATACTAGAAGCGATGCTTCAAAGAAGAGTCTGCTCTCGGGCCCCCAAACAAGTTCTCTCAACATTGTAATTTCATGCAATGTAGCATTTGTTCACATCGTATCTATTTGAACTTGGGGTGCTCCTCTGCACAGCACAACTTTAATAATTGAAGGGTGCTGACTGAGTTAGAGGGGGCCGTGGTTATTCATGTATTACTGAATTATGCATTGGAGAGGTTTGTGGAAATGCCCTCTTGCTCCCATATTATCTATCACCTAACATAACCAGATTCACACATATTATTTTTGCGTGCATACTTTCTGGAAATATTTAAAGGAATAACCACTGATTATTTTTCATTTCAGTAACTTCATTTTGCTTTTTTTGAAAACTATGTTAAAATAGTGAAAGAATGTATGGTTATATACCCTTTTAATAAATATATATGTTTTTATTGCTATTATTCTCCTTTTCAAGCAGACCTTAGGGAAACCTACCCATAGTCACTGACTTAATTGCATTTCAAGCGCGATAAAAAACCTCAAGGCTTGAAAATTTTTCACCCCTCATTTGAAAAATTTGACTAAAACAAGGTGAAGGGATAGAGGTTAATGTCTGCTCTGTTCCCAAGTGGAAAGGCAACATGTCAGGATAGCCGCTGGGTAAAGAAGAAAAGGGCAGAGGTTGGAGAACTCGAGGCTCATACAATACAAGTCGGTATCATGGGCTTATCATGGAAATGCTGCCATTATTACAGGGAACAAAAAGGAGACAGTTCTCCCCAAATGGCTCTGAGAAGAAAACCAAAAAAATGGTTTGTAAGCTCTAAATGTACTTTCCTTATTTTTTCTACATAATATTTAATCAAGAAGAACACTATGCGAAACAATTCTACGGTCGTATTTTATGTGACGTGAGCAATTTGAAGTTCATCACATCATCACCAGGACACCAATTCTGTATACATGTTATGTGACAAACCAAATTATGTTCATAAAAAAACATATTTATCAAATACATATTTTTCCTGAAAGATAGTCACAGAAACTATTTAATTTGATGCCTCTTCTCATCTGTATCCTCCAAAGAGCAGTGACATTTTAATACAGGGGTAATTAACTCACGTCCAACCTGTTCCATCCTGCTCTGCATCCGAAAAGTCCCCAAATACCAGTCATCCTTTATCTGCCCTTCCTTGCTGACAGATAACCTCTTTCAGCTGGACTCAATTGTATTATCCCCCCGGGGATTATGGCTGTGCCTGACAGGGTTGTCCATGGCGTTGGCTTTTGTTATACAGGACAACCCAACAAATGAGCCCTTTCAATTTCATTATTCAAAAATCCCTGAAGCTTTAGAATGCATTAGGGCGTCGTGGACAGCGTAAAAACAGGTGCAGAAAAAAACCTCGCCACCACTCCGAAGATCGTGTTCTGTGACGTGAGCTCAGGGACCGGTTATCGGCATCAGATCGCAGATACCGCTCGCTCTCGGTTTACAGCGTAAAGCAATAAGATTATCTGCCGCCAAACTGCATGTGAAGCCTTTTTTTGTTAGATGAGCAAATTACACATATCATTTGCTTGGGGTCACATAAGCAATGTCAGCAATTAGATTGTGTGAGGCTATGGACGGTGGCCTTTGGAACCCCCCCGCCCGCCCAAGGGGATAGATGCAAATTGCCCCTTCAGAAAATGTTGACCTTTTTTGGAAATGCATCTGGTTCTGGTTGAAATATGGAGCTATGAAAATCTTGATGCCCTTGTAAACAAGTTTGTGCTCCAGCAGTGGTTGAATTCAAGTACAATCAGGCAACAATTTGAATGCACTTGTCCTTGATTCCTTTTTTTAAAACCTAATTTGTATTTCTTATTATCTCAGAGCAACAAAAGATAACAATGATCACTGAAAATTTACAATGTTGGGCTTTAATACCCTTCTATACATTTTGGCCTGTATGCGCCACAGTCTCCCGAGTCGAGCTTTATAATTTGATGCATAGAACTGGACGAGGTTTATAACCGCACAGGATTTTCACTTCCCTCAACACAGATTTTGACATGCATGTAAGAAATGGAACAGTATGTCTCGTCCCAGAAGTCTCAGACCGAATCACAGCGGCGGGTGCCAGATCCAACTAATGCTGCTGTTGCATAATTGCAGACAGTCAAAGCCTCCTCTCTGTCGGGTTAAATGGCCCCGGGGCTCAGTGCTCAACACGTCTGTCTCGAGAGACAAAAAAAAAAAAGGACACAAACTGTATTGTAGTTCATCACTGTCAACTGTAAAAGCGCACGTCATTTTTTTCTGGGCTGTCATTCTTTCTTCGGGTGCTGGCTGCGTCATGTCAGTGGTTTATATATTCATGTATAGATATAGAGGTATTAATAGCTAATCTGACGTTGTCATCTTTCCTTCTAGACCATGAATTTGTTTTTCCTCTCGATTCAAAATAGATATGTAATGTTCAAAAGCGTGTGGTGCCGAGCTGAAAACGACCTCAATTTGATTCTTAGAATGTTATGTTTTAAAAGCAAACCCAAATAGGACGATTTTATAGAACACTACTTGAAAGTGATTGAACTAGCACTCCACACCACTGCTCAACCAACTCAATGCTGCTCGCAGTGGTTCTCACATTAATAATAACTACTCGCGAAGAATGACTCTCATCAACTCGCTCTAACACGCATTCTAAAGCAAGGCGCCAAATGCATCCATGACTCACACTGAGGCATTTCTTGTCCTGCTTACCCGAGTGTTTCTCACTTTTTAATAGGGATGGAGACAGTAATAGAGGTTACATTACCCGCTGATTGAACAAATGCATATGAATAAACAATTATGAAGCTTGTGTTGATTGGTTCTTGTAGATCACGGTGGGTTCAGAAACACACACTAAATATGTAATATACTATAGCGTGTTTTGTTTTTAAATAACTACTCATATTTACTACTCAGTAACAGTACCGCCAAACGTTTGCATGCATTTTCTCATTCAATTCAATGAGAAAGTGTGTCCAGACTTTGACTGGTAGTATATACATATGTGTGTAGATATAGATGGATAGATAAGTAGGTAGACTTGATTAATCCCGCAAGGTGATTTATTTTTTCTTACAGCAGCATGAATGCCTACAGGTGAACTAATGATGAAGTGAATTGACAAAAAATGAATGAAGTAGATAAAAAAGCAGACAGTTAAATCGTCCTCTAGCCCACTGTCATTACCAAGCTTAACGAGTGCTGTTTACTGAGCACTAATTGAACTCAGAACCGGAGAGCGATAATCCAGTGTCAAGCTTCAGATCGCTAATGTGACATCATTGATGAGCAATGGCTGCCAGCTCGGCGCACTACAGCTAGCTCAAGGTAATGTTTTGATTAATACTGAATCAAGCTTGTCATCCTCCCCCCCGTGATAAATAGAGGGGAGTTAATTACAAAGATTTCCCATTCTTCCTTCTGCCTCCTCCGCGGAAAGCGTTTAAGTTTTGTGTCGTCAATGAGGGCAATTTAGTAAGATGAATAAGATGATTTAAAGAAACATATGTACGAGTGCGCTCAAACAACTCTGCGTGATCCACATCCAGCGCACCGGCTGTACGTAACCAGAGATTGGCTTACATGCACCAAGGCCGAGCCAATAGTATGTGGGTTGTTTGGCTACTTGTGAGCTTTCTTTATGAGGCTGGTAATATATATATATATATATATATGTAATGATCAGTCACATCAGTACTTATTCCCACTTTTTGAAGGCATTGTGACGTAATACAAAAATATACATTCTTGGAAATTGAAGTATTTAATTTGGTCTAAACCTAAGAAATGTGAGGAAAACAACACAATTAATTAATTTTTTAATAAAATCAAACTAATCCATTGCAAAAATCGAGACTCTTACAGGTTGAATATACAGTATATGTTGCAAAGCCGCCCTTCCATTTTCTGGGTTGATCGGGGGCAGCTGTTCTCCCCAGCCTGCCTCTGGTCAACACACAACTGTCTGAAAAATATGGTGCCTGGCAGTGTGTTAATTTGACTGAATTGTTTCTGGGTGAGATGAATTATCTCGATGTGTGATAAATGAGCACAGTAACGTAATTACATTTGCATAATGTCTTTCCTGCTTCATTTCTGCACCTATTTTTCCGCGAATGTCCCCAGTAGCAAACACCGTAGCGAGATCTGGAAAATCCATATTTCTGTTTATCTATTGTTCTCTTCGGAATCCTTCAAAGGTTTTAGTGATAAAATATTTATTAGAGTGACACTGCAGAAGAGTCAAAGGGCTCAGTAAAAAGAAATCCCGATCCCATAGACACTAAATAACTACAATTGTATCTAAC